GGTGACCCGTGAGGCTGTGTGCCACCTGGGGTCAGGGCCGCATGCCTCTCTGCCCTCTGCCTGGCACCAAGTGCCTGAGGGCCTGAGAGCCAAACCCCACAAAAACCGTGCAGAGTGATGGGAGGGATCCAGGGAGGCAGCCGGGAAGGGTCCCTCCAACTCTGGACCCAGCAGCCCTGGGGGTCAGCATGGATGGGCGCCCTGTTGGGGCAGCTCAGGGGACTGGCTTGAGGGCAGCTGTGGCACAGCCCAGCCAGGCCAGACCAGGCCCAGGCTCCCCAGTGTTCTCTCACCCCCTCAGGCCACCTTATGCTGCCCCTCAGACCCACCCAGCACCTACCAGGGACCCTCTCAGGCCTCTGCCCACCTCAGTCTTTGTTCCAAAGTTCCTTTCTCAGTGCGGCTTTCCTCATGGGTGCTGTGTAAAAGCCAAACCCAGCCCCGTGGCTTTCTGCCAGCTGCAGCTGTTTGTTCATTTAGTCTGTGTATGTCGCCATCCATAAGAAGCACTCCACAAGGGTGAGGAATGTAGATGCGGCATCAGTCGGCGCTCAGCAGAGAGCAGGGGTGGGTGAGGTGGCAGGCAGCAGAGCTGACCAGTGCGCTGCACCGTGCGGGGACCCCTTGGAGCTCTGCATGTGCAAGGGACAGGTGTGTCCCGTACTCTCCCATCTCGAAGTCACAGCCCCTGGGGAGGAAACTCCCTGGTTGCCCAGGAAATTCCTCCCGCCGGCTTCACCCTGGCTCCTTGCCTCTGCCCAGGGGAGCTGGTCCTAACACGCAGAGTCTCACCTGTTGGGGACACCACGTGGGGCGGCTGTCAGTGTGATGGGTGAGCCTCCTGGTGCCCACCCACTTCGGGGTGTCGCCACCCCAGTATGAGCTCCAGGGCCTGTTGCGCACAGGGTGGGCACCTGGGAATTGTGCACAGGAGCCAGGTGTGGAGCACCTTGCTCTGCTCCTGCAGCACCGGGGCCTGGACCCCAGTGACCAGGCACTTCAGCTGCGCGGCCTAATGTCCACACCACTGACCCGCAGCAACACGCAGCTGAGGAAGCCAGAGAGGCAGCTCTGCCTCCCACTCTCGGATGCGGAGAAGGGAGCTTGCCTCGGAGGTTGCAGAGGACATCTGCAGGCAGCAGCCCAGCAGCCATGCACAGGAGGGCTGCACACGCCGAGAGTCTAGCGCAGGGTGTGTCGCTGGCTCTGCTCCTGGGTCAGTCTGGCCCCCACCCACGGTAGTGTGGCAGAGGTGGAGACAGCTCTGGCACTCAGCTCATGTGCGACTGGAGCCCATGCTGGGGGCTTCCCTCTCTTGTCAGGGGACCCAGGCTTTGACCTCTGACCTTTCTCTTACTTTCACTGCTTCTGAAGGTCCCAGTGGTCTGTCAGGTGTCCTTGCACGTCCTGGTGGTTTTAGAGAAAAAAAGTAATGAAACAGTCGTATTCACATATCTTTCCTTGATTTGAATTTAAAATCAACTTCTGATTTTTATGGCAGCATCATTAGGTTCTTAATTTTATCACGCTAAAAGTTGCGTATTGGTCAGGAGTGATTTGGCCAACATCAGTTAAAATTGTGCAGTTCAGTTTGGTTGACATTTTCACACAAAGTATTGTTGTTTTTCTGTGTTAAACATGCATTTCAGGGTTGCTACTCACGCGGCCTTTTATCTTGCATCTGCTGTGATGGCTCAGAAGCCAAGGGGACCAAGGCTCCATGGAGAAGCAACTGGTGTAGGGCTGGGCGGGGCAGGCACAGGCTGAGACTGGAGCCCCTCACAGGAGGAGGAAAGCACTCACAAAAACAGAAACTACAAGGAAACCCAAAAACCAAAACCTAGAAGGCTGGGGCACGTCAAAGAGACACATAAGATAGGTCAGATAACATTAGATTGTTGCCTGTGGTGTGACAGATGCTGACATAAGTGAACGGGGAGGAGGGACAAGCCTTCCCTGCAGCCCAGTGCTTCACGCCACTGATGCTGCTCCTGCAAGCGCAAGGCACAGAATCCGGAAGGAGCAGCACTAGCGCCATGCCCAATGTCACGCGCTGAGACGGGCTCCTCGCCTCTCGGGTTCTTCTCAAAGGTGCCTTAGTCCATCCTCGTGGCGGGAAGGTAACTCCCCCAAGCGTGTCTCGCCCCGCCCCAGATGACTTGCCATTGGGCCCCACCCTTCGACCTCCGTGCTGGGCCTGCACCGGCCTCTGGTCTCTGGGCAGCGTCCAGCTTGGTAGTGGCTCCTTCTGCCTGTGATGCTCCCTCTGCATCTTCCCGTGTCCCTCCTCCCTCTGGGCCGCTCCTTCGAAGCCCTTCTTGTGGGTCCCCACGCCCTGGCTCCAACTGGCCTCAGTGTGCACTCGCTTCCTTTCCTCAGGCCTCTTCAAGCATCTGGCCCCCCCATGCCCTTGTCTGCTCCCACATCATCCACTTCCTTCCCCACCTGTATGCAGACAGGTGGGAACGTCACTGCACACTGCCCTGGATCCCTGTCTCTCCCACATCATCCGCATCCTTTCCTCACCCACATGCAGACAGGTGGGAATGTCACTGCACACTGCCCTGGACCCCCTGTATCTCCCACATCATCCGAATCCCTTCCCCATCCGCATGCAGACAGGTGGGAATGTCACCTCACACCACCCTGGACCCTTTGTCTGCTCCCGTCCATAACCAGGCCCTCGGTTGCCTATGTTGCTGTCACCACTTTCTTACCTTCCACCAAACAGCTTTGTCAAGGTCACCACAGACCTGCCCATGCCAAACCCAGAGATCAATGTCCAGTCCTCCTCTGGCCATCCAGTGGGCACAAACAGTAGCCCTTGACAGCCTGGGTGCCAACCCCACCCATTGTCATGGCTGTGAGCAAGCGCAGAGTTTCCCTGTGCTGCTGCTCTTCCATCCACGGTGGGAATGGCAGCAGAGCCTCTCTGAGGGCTGCTGTGAGGGCCAAGTCAGCCAGCAGAGCCATGCACAGCAAGAGCTGTCTCAGTGGGGACTCTCGTCAGCCTCTTCTTTGGCCCTGGCCGCTGAGTGTGAAAGCAGCGCTTCCAGACTGGCGCTGAGACAGGCTGCCTGGGGTGGACGGAGGGAGTGCGGGGCCTCTGTGGGAGCTGGCTAGGCACCCTGCACCAGGTGCTCCCTGTTTATGTGCCCTGTGACCTGGACATCATATTGCTGTGCGTGTATGTTCCAAGGAAATAAGGGAAGCGCAGGAAGAAGGACGCCCAAAGGTATTGTCTTAGTCCAGCCCTGCTGCTCAAACAAAACACCTCAGACTGGGTAATGTATAAACAGCATAAATTCATTGGTCATGGTCGTGGAGGCTGGAAGTTCCAGACCAAAGTGCCAGCAGGCTCGGCATCTGGTAAGGGCTGCTCTCTGCTGCTTTCTCTAGAGGAGACATACACTGTCCCCACATGGTAGAGGGACAGGAGGACAGGAAGGGCCTTGCTGGTTTCTGGAGCCCTTCATACGGCACCAGTCCATTCGTGAGAGCAGAACCCTCATGGCCTCGTCATCTCCTAGAGGGCCCATGTCTCGATGCCATCGCACTGAGTCTGCAGTGCCAGCATAAGAGCTTTGAAGGGATACTTACATCCACACCACAGCAATAGTTACTAAAACATTGCCTAACATAGCAATTCACATACCCGCAATGTTCAGTCATTGCCGATCAGTTATATTCTTGTGCATAAAATGAATAAAATGGAATACATAAAATCTTATGCACAAAATAGATACCACGGTGAATTTGATCATTATTATCTAGAAAAATATAATAACATAGAAAAAGCATTAATATATAATGCTAAGTGAGAAAAACAGGAAAAACGTGGATGGTTTATTACTGTTTTTGTTAAAAAGATGTGCTAGCACACACCTAGCAGAAAAGAGTCTGAACAGGTGGCTTTCACAAAACCGCATATCATCGGTGATTTCCCTGGGTGGTGGTGAATTACGGGTCAGTTTTTGCATATGTATGTATCCTGCTTTTTTCCGTGGTGAACAATCAGGATGACTTTGATTGGTCAGTAAGACCTGACGGACACACTTTGTCCCTGCGCCTTTGTGGGTGCCAGGAAGCTCCAGGAGCTAGTTTGGTGCTGCCCAGTGGAGCGCACACCTTCCTGGCCAGCACCCGCCTTCCTCCGCAGCACGGGGCTCCCCTTGCATCCATGCTTTACCTCCTCTGCGTGTGTGTGTCACTCTCTCATCTGGTTGTCATGTAGGATGACGGGATAAAAGTAACAGACTGCTAACAGGTGGAGCTGAAGGGTGACCCTCTCCTGGTTGGTGGCACCAGTGCCCAGTTTGAGGGGTGGACCGACACGAGTCCTCCTCCTCTCACAGTCCCCAGTGCCTGCACTGCGGGGTCCTGGCCGGATACTGGCACCCACCTGCCGCAACTCAGCCAATGTCAGGATCGTTTCAGGGTCACAGCACACGTCCACTTCTGAGCTTTCTCTGGGTCCTGCATGCCATGGCAGACCTCGAAGCTCTAGATTACAGTAGGGAAAAATGGGGAGAGGAGAGCATTTCCGGTCTTTGCTGTCCTGGTGAGCCACAGCCTCACCCTGCATGGAACCTGCAAGCGCAGCGCCAGCCAAGCCCAGCACGGCCCCGCTGTCGGCAGGCGGGACCCACTTCATGCCGACTCCGTCCACGGGCAGACAGTTGGCAGCTGCGGCAACAGCTCGTGTCCTAGGAGCCACGTTGGGATTAAGCTGGGCCAGAGCTTCTGCCCCCACCTCCCCTCGTGTCCCAGGGGCTTATCGCTGCGCCATGTCCTGCAGGCTCGCCGGGCTGTTTTGTCACCCTTGGGGGAGGGGCTGCTGAAATGACATAAGCGCTGGGTGCACCCCCAAGGACATGAGGGGAGCTGGGCGGAAAGTGGGTCACATGTGCCTGGCCTGTGTCACGAGGCTCCTGCCCGAGGCCACTGGGTGGGCGGCCCCTTGGTGGGGAGCAGACATCACCCTGGCTTTTCTCCTTCAGCATCTCATCTCTACGCGGGAGAGTGGCCATCTGTGCGAAACCCACATCAGCCCCAATCCTTCCCGGCGCACAGAGCTGCTTTGTCTGAGGTAAGGGGTTCCGAGGGCCAGAACTGGAGGCTGCTGCAGGGGACGGCGGGCCAGGCTGCGAGGGCAGGTGGAGGCGGCATGGGTAGCCATGCACAGTGCTTTATGACGGAAACGTGGAAACTATCGTATTTATAAGTACAATTCAACGATGGTATTCATGTTAGATCCTCCATTTTGATGATATGGTTCCTTTCTAAGGGTAACCGCCTTTACTGTTGAAGTGTTATTACTTACAGAAAAAGCATATACTTTTACGAATGTTTGCCAGTCAGAGACGTTGGATGTGGTAGGGAAGACGGCTCTCACCCTTAGAGATGCTGGCCGTCCTGTGGTGCATAGCCAGGACCTTCCAGCCTGGCTGGCTGTCCTTGCCCCTATCTGTGAGCGTGGACCTCTGTGGGAGCCAGGGAGCGATTTCTCCCACTGGCGTCCGGCTCCGCCAAGTCCAGACATCAGGGTGAGGTTAATGAATGAGGAACCTGCATTTTTATATTGAGAGTGACACAGTTCTCTCACCTCTGGAAGGCTGGCATGTGTGACGGCTGCGTGATGACATGAAATGTAGAATAGCTTAAGAATGTTCGTGAAACCAGTGTGGGTTTCATGACTTATAAATAATGAAATTTCATGTTTTTACCTGTCCTGTAAAGAGCTGAAGTGTTTGTTAGTTCAGGTCCTTCTGGCGAACGCTTGAGCCGACCACGAAACGTTCGCCGTGTCCCCGCGGCACTGAGCACAGGGCCGCGTTGAGACAGCCTGTGCTCCTGTCTGCCAGGGCCAAGGTCACGACAGAGTTTGATTGCAACATGTTTTATTAGGAAAAGTTTTTTGCCTTTCAGAGAAAAGATATTTTAACTTTGTGTTTTAGCTGGCTTTCCAGCGTACATGCCCAAGGTCACCAGAGTAAATGCAAGCACTTTGGATTACAGACCGATCTGCGTTTTAGCCGTGCAGAATAACAGCCGTGCCCTGGTAGCAGAAGCAGCTTTTCTCTTCTGCGAAGCGACACCTGCAGGAACCTCCCGCATTCAGGGCAAGGTCCAGCACCTTACCTTGCAGCCTTGGCATGAATCTCACGAGATGTTTCCAAAGGGCTGTTTCTTATCCATTTCCAATCTTGAGGAAAGGGAATTTTTGTATTATTTCACCAACAGGATAGCAAAATTGACTGTTTTGATGCAGTTTTCGACATTGCACCCGTTTTCCTCCACCCAACACGTCCCAGCACTTGGTTTGATGTGAGCACTTGGTTCTCTCAGTAGCAAGACGGGGACACACTGCTGAGATGACCACGCTTGCTTATGTTAATAATGTTACAACCCACCCCCGTTACTGTATTTGGGGGAAACGAGTCCTGCTGTCTCTAGAAATAAAACCTGTGCTGTAGGGCAAGTGTTAGGGGATGTTTATTTTCCCTTAGTTTCATTGGTGAAAAATGTTACTGTTTTTACAGAAATAGCATAAATGTAACCTTACAGAAGCAACAAGGTGATGTCCCCTTTGTACTTCTCCGAGGACGATCCTAACACAGCCCCGGGAGCCCATGGGTCATGTCTCTGAGCTCGGCAGACCCAGCAGCCTATCCTCGGACACCAGGGCAGCTATTCTCCTGGCATGGGCCTCAGGTCTTTAGATCTCAACTCATGTGAGAACTGAAAGGACCACACGGTGGTGCGGCCTGATGCTGCTCTTCTGGAAGCCCCCCCGGACCCCACACGCCCTGCTCGGTTCATGGCAGTGCATGTGGCTGCCGGGAGGCTGCCTCGCTCTGCTCGGGAAGTAGAAACTTGGATAAAGCAGACGCTGTCCTGCAAGGGAGTCTCGGGAGACTTGGGGTCACGAGCTGCCCATGGCTGGAGTCTTCTGGAGAGATGTTTTCACTCCAGGCGACTGAGGGGGCTTCACAGGCCCAGGACTCAGAGGACCAGCAGGCCCAGAGGCTGTGACGGGGGTCCAGGGACCCTGAGAGTGGGCAGGACCGTGTCGGGGCAGAACCCACCGGGCATTCCAGGTCAGCTGGGAGAGCAGAGGGTTTCCTTCCCTCTAAGTGCTGCCTGCATCATTTTAATGCTATAAGGAAGTGGTCCTCCTAGTGTGACCCCTGCACTACTACCCTCACCATCACCATGACCTCTGAGAGCTCTCTGGAGATGCAGATCCTGAGAACTCTCTGGAGACGCAGACAGACCAAGTCAGAAACGCTGAGGTGGGACCGTGGTCTATGCTCTAACAGACCTTCCAGGCGGTGTGGTATGCACAGTACCTATGAGAAACGCAGTGTAGACCAGATAGGAATGAGAGGGTGATGGACAGGCACGCGGGGCTCCCGGTGCGCACCCCGGGCAAAGAGGAGTGTGTGCTGACGGTCCATCAGGTCAAGCACTAGCCGGACCGGCCAGGGGGACATGCGTGGTTTACCTGGTCTTCATGGTGCATTGGTCAGGAGCACAGCTCAGGGTCTCGATCTTGCTGAATGGTTCGAGGGCTGCCCGTGTATGCCTCTGCCCAGTGCTGAGGCAGAGAGGGGCTTGTGGAAGTTCAGAGAAGGTTCTGTGGAGAAGAGTGGTCCCACTCTTGTTCAAGGTGAGCAGGAGCCCAAGGGAGCAGCTGGTGGGAGGGGAGATGTGACAGAGGCCGTGGGATCCTGATGGCTTGGGGTCCTCAGTTGGGGGGACCAGGGATCATTGGGGTGGTTGGGGGAATGAAGGGACATGTCTCTGGGGCAGGAACCAGCACCGGACGGCCTCAGGAGGGAGAGGGCCTAGCTGGGGAGGGCTGTGGTGGGCGCTGCCGGCCAGCCCCAGATGCAAACATGGCCATCCTCTAGTCAACAGTCCCCCAGAGCAGCCCTCCGTGCCCATCTGAAAGCCTCTGCCTGCACCCTCCCCTCAAGGGCTCCAGTGCCCCCATCCTCCTCCTCCTCCTCTTCCTCTCCACCATCTGCTGTCCCACTCGCCTCCCCTCCCCTCACCTCTGTGTGACCCCCACACCGAGGTTGTGTCTGGGTGCACGGTCCTTATGCACAAAAGGATGCAGGGAAGGAGGGAAGAAGAAACCCACATAGTGAAACAGACTGCGGGACGAGAGTCGTTAAAGTGGCCAGACAGGGATAGAGGCTGGTTTTGTTCTGATTTGATTTGCTTTGCTTTGCTTTAGTAAAAGTGGAATTTGAACCAACAGATGTGGACAGACTATTCAATAAAGTTGTTGGGTCAGTTATGTATGCCAAAAAACCCCACTGAGTTTAGCATTTTACCTCACACCAAGGTGAGTGTGCTTGAGATGGAGCACTGTGCTAAAGGCGGCATCACTAGAGCGTTCACAGCACTTGTGCGTGGATGTGTGGGGCGGTCTTCCATGAGGGCGTCGCCAGGCCTCATCCCAGAAGGCATGGGGGTGGCGTGAGGGTGGCAGACCCGAGGGGAGCGCTGGTGCCTCCATGGCCGCACCCCATCCTCCAGGCAGGCAGATTGTGCAAGGACAGCAGCCATGAAGAAATAAACACGGACTTCACAAATTGACACACGTTCAAGGTGGCATCGCCTGGAGTTGCGGCCCAGAGCATGGTGTACATTGGCGTCTGCAAGAGCAGCTATGAACCTGTGCCACAGATGCTTCAAGTGTATAGACCCTTTGACCCGGCCGTGCTCCTGCTAGGGACTCCTCTGCCAGGTGAGAGACACTCAGGAGAACTCAGCCTGTCCCCCAACAGCAGGGATGACTCTCAGAAGCATTGCTGTGAGTCTGCTGAGCATGAGCGAGCGTGGACCGCATGGGGTACTGGGAGCCTGCGCCCTGCCTGGGCGTGGAACGTTCCATGTTGGGAATCAGTGGTCGCCCGGGGAATCCTGTGTGAAAGTTGAGCTGCTCACATCAAATCTGTGCATTTTCCTGCCTACGGATTATGGCTGTGTTTTAAAATCGCCTCACAGCACACATGTAGTGTGTTATTTCTGCAAAACAAATAGCTGGTTTATCTCTGTTTGGAACTCTAAGAAGGGGCCCCAGCAATGGGGGCTCCTCCTCATGTGGGGGCTGCCCTGTCCCCACCTCTGCCTGCATGTTTTTCAGAGCCCCCTGGGTCCCTTCTCCCCTGCTGCAAGGGGGCTGCCCACACCGGCTCTGGCAGAACCTCAGAGCGTTTCTGCAGGCGTTCCCTTGCCTTGTTCTTTCTGTTGGTTTTAGAAAGGACTCTGCAAGCTGTTACGGTCAAATCTTTTTAAAGCCACTGGTCTAAGTGACCTAGAAATGTATATTTGACTCAAGTTTGAGTTGCCAGAGCCCAATAGCATCTGGGGCACATGGACAAGCCCATGGCAGGTTGGGCTGTTGGTACCCTGTGGCTGCCCAGGCCCTGCCGCAGACAGGGCTGGTCAGCATCTCTGCTGGCCTGTCCCTGGGACAGCCTCCTGGCTAGGCTTCCAGAAACACCGTGCCTGTCCCTGGTATGCAGCCCCCAGTCACAGAGACCCCAGCATATCGTGTTGGGAAGAAACAAGAGACTGCCTCAGGCCTGGGCACTGAGCCAGGGGCAGAGGCGCCGTCCTCACTCCAGTCCGGACCTTAGTTGTGCCAAAAGGACCTGCAGGGCAGTGGGGTTGGCTCTGGCAGCTTGGTTGAGGCCTCGCTTTCAGATACTGCCACGGCAGAGCTCATACAACCCACTTCCTCCTGGCAGAATTTAGTAGGAACAAATTCAAGAATTTAGACACCCACTCTGGGGTTTGCCTTATTGACTCACCTATGCGGGATGTAGGAATGTGCCCCTGAGTCTTTGTGCTTTGAGGAGCACAGCTTGTCTTTCTCACACATATCCGTGTCTTTTTCCAGCACGGACACTGAAATAAAAAACAAAACACACCATTAAGATAAATAACTGAGGCAGGCAGCTGTGAGGTTTTTGGGATTAGCAGTCCATCAGCAGATCAGAGTTGCAGCACAGCTCTGGGGGCTGCGGGGGATTAACTCTAATGCGAAGCCTCTGGCTGGGGAGAGTCCTT